ACTCAATAAAGCTCGGGATAATACACAACTTAAATCACAAAGACATAATGGATGATATCACATAACTCAGAATAAGCATACAAGACCCTCCGGTCACACAATGTTACCAATCAGGTAAGTATAGTAAGAAGACTCACCTCGTAAGTAAGCAAGTAAGCCTCGTACCCCTCGAACAGTCTAATCTCCGCCTACATGCCATAATCATCTCTAATTAACACTTATAACCACAACTCTAAATAATTTAAGCTCACCCCTCACTATAACTCTTGTAAAGGGTAAAAGACCATTTTATCCTTCCATGGTCTCCATAATCCATGTCTTGACCAACCCTAAAGTCAACAGAAGTCAACACTCGAGTCAACAATCCATGTTGACCCAACTCGTCGAGTGCATCTATGAGACTCGTCGAGTTCCCTCGTTTTCCTCATAAATGTCGTAAAAATCCAACTTAACTCGTCGAGTTGTCTCGTCAACTCGCCGACTTACAACGCGTCCAGACTCATCGGGGAAAACCCTAACCGACTCGTCGAGTCGGCTCACCAACTCGTCGAGTCCCTTTAGTCCATTTTCTTATTCAGACGATTTCAGGCAGAATAAGGTCTCATACTCTGGATCTAGCCTTCTAAGACTGAATCATCACGTAAAGCTGCAAGCTTTACGTTCATGCATGGCATCTAGGGCTCAAAATGCCAAAACAAGCTCCATAAAGGTTTTCATGCATGGAAACTTGCCCAAAGCTTGATAAAGCTTGGATCTTTGAGCTCATGGGTCCTCATTTTGTCGAGATCTGGAGTCTCAACCCCAAGGCAAGCTCCAGCAACTCAAGAACCACAAGATAAGGAGGGGAAAAGCCCTAAAACTCCCTAGAAAGAGATCTATCAAAGACATGATCAAGGTGGTAGCTTTTTACCTCCAAATTGAAGCTAGCACAGAGACACACTTGATCCACAAGCCTCTTCTCGTTCCAAGGCTTGATGCTCTTCACTCATCTTCCAAATGTGCACCAAAACACCCAAAGTTAGCTTCTATCTCTCTCACACAAATGGATACACACAATTAGGGTTTCTCACAGAGGGTTGGGATGATAAGGGAGGCGGAAATGAGGGCTTAAGGTCCTTTAAATACGACACAAACCCTGAAAATTAGGGTTTTCTCACTCAGCACCTACTCGTTGAGTTGGGGTCCTCCAACTCGTCGAGTAGACTCTAATAATCACGCAACCATTATCTTCTCTACTCGGTGAGTTGGGGCATCCAACTCGTCGAGTTGCTCTGACACTATCAATGAAATTAATTAAATAATATACCTGGGACTCGGGATGTTACAAGAAGAATTTGTGTCCCAGAAGAACCTGTGCATAAAGTTATCTTGTGCTGTGGAGATATCTTGTGTAACAACTTTCTCTGCTTTCTGTGTTTCTGTTTCTTTTCTCGTGAGGAGAACATGTGCAGGAAGACAAATCGGCGACTGCAATTGATTCCTCCTGTGCGATCTAAGAATCAATCTTGCAGTTTTGAGAAGGCGTGTTTTGCCCTAAAGGAAAAATAAACGTGTTTTTTTGTTCTTTTAGGCCCTTGTTGAGATCTGAAACTTTTATTGCAAACCAAGATCGTTTTTTGGGCCTTTGAAGCAAAAAAAAAATCATCAAGACATAGTAATCGTGATTTTTGTTTATGTTTCTTTTTGAAGCAAAAAAAGAAAAACAAAACAAATCGGAATTTTTTTTCTCTGATTCGTGTGGAGGAATCAAAAATTGAACTGCGATGTCTGGAGGAGAATCGTCGTGACCACCGGCTAAGGAACACACTTCGTTTACATTCCAATGCTTGGTTTTGTCATCGACGAACTACACAATTTGGAGGATGCACATGGAGGTGCTACTCGGGATTCATGGCATCTGGTATGTGATCGATCCCGGACTTGATGACACGAAGAAAAATAACATCATGAAAGGATTGTTGTTTCAATCGAATCTGGAGGATTTAATCCTTCAAATTGGTAATTTGAAAACTCGTAACCTAGGAGCTGATCGAGTAAAGGAAGCAAGGCTCGAAACGTTGACTATCGAGTTCGAGAACATCAAGATGAGTGATACAAGTACGATAGACGATTTCGCTGCAAAATTATCTGGAATTGCTTCGAAATCTGCTTCATGTGGAGAGGTTATAAACGAACAGAACCTTGCGAAGAAGTTTCTCACGAGACTCCCTATACGATTTGTGCATATTGTAGTGGCTCTTGAACAAGTCTTAGATCTTGAGACGGTAGGCTTTGAAGACATGGTTGGTTGCTTAAAAGCCTACGAAGAAAGAATTAAGGAGGATGATAAGACGCCTGAAACACAAGCAAATCTACTTTATACCAAAACCGAATCTTCATATAGTAACACCGAATCATCAATGGTAGAGGTCGAGGTTCAAATAACCGAGGAAGAGGACATGGTGGCGGAAGTGGTCGGGGTAACACCCAAAATCACAGTCACTCGGAATCCACTAAAACTTGTGATGATAAAAAAACAAAAGGGAAAGCAACGTGAACAAAGGGATCTCTCAAATATTCAATGTTACTGGTGTGATAAGTATGGTCACTTTACTTCGAGATGCCCGACCCAAATCAAAAATCATAAGGCTAACCTTAATGCGACATACGAAGGAGGTGCGAATCATGAAGAAGGGTCGTTCTTTATGATGAATACAATCCAAGAAACGGTGTTCTTGAACGAAGACAAATATATCCCTGCAAAAATTGATGCATATACCGATGAAGACAAAATTTGGTACTTAGACAATGGTGCGAGCAACCACATGACCGGAAACTACTCTTATTTTTCTGAATTAAATAAAAACATAACATTTACAGTGAGATTTGGAGATGGGTCATGTGTTAGCATTAAAGGAAAATGGGTCAATTTTGTTCGAAGAGAAAAGTGGCGACCAAAAACTAATGAAGGATATTTATTATATTTCGTCATTTCCGAGCAATGTTATTAGTCTCAGGCAATCTACAATAGCCGATTGTGATATTCGGGTGTGATGTGATTTCCTAACCATGTGAGATGGAGTTAGAAGATTGCTTATGAAAGTCCCGAGAAGTGCAAACCGATTTTACTAAATTCAGTTAAAAGTTGGTAAACCACATAACTTGCAAACCAATACATCGATTGAAAAACGAACCGATAAAGAGGTCAAGATTTTCCATACGGATAGAGGTGGAGAATTCACATCGACTGAGTTGAACCGTTTTTGTGACGAAGAAGGGATTTCACGTATGTTGACGACTCCTTACGCACCTCAACAAAATGGTATAGTCGAATGGAGAAATCAGACTCTACTCGAGATGACACGGTGCCTAATGAAAGCAAAAAATATTCCAAACCACTTTTGGGGTGAAGCGTTACGTCATGCAACGTTCATTGTAAATCGTACACCTACTCAAGCTTTGATAGGTGCTACACCGTTCGAGAAAATTTATGGTGAAAAACCAAACCTTGAAGACTTGAAAGTATTTGGTTGTGTTGCACACAAAAGAGTAGTCTCCAAACATTTAAAGAAGCTTGATGATAGGTCTCGACCGTTGGTGTATTTTGGAAATGAACCCAATTCAGGGGGATTTCGGTTATATGATCCGTAGGAAAATAAAATTGTTATTAGTGCCCATGCAATTTATGATGAAAATAAGATATGGAAATGGAGTAATAAACCCGAAAATCAAGCTGGAAATGGACCGGGTACATTTACGATCTTGTGGAGTAATGATCAAGCAGCCCAATTTGATGTTGGTTCGAGCCCGGTTGCAACAGAAACCGAACAACCCACTGATAAAGCCCAAACCAACCAAACCGGTGACACTTCTCATGATGATAGTAGCGCATCGCAACCCGTTGATGATTCGAGTTCCGTCACACCCCGCCGATCCACTCGAACTTCACTCTTACCAAGAAGATTAAATGACTGAGAGCTAAATGTGGATCATTTAATGTTGACATTCGATGAAGAACCGAAGAATTATAAGGAAGTCAAAGTGAACAAGAATTTGCTTAATACAATGAATGCCTTAGCGCGGATAAGGTTCACAGAGATGAGATCGTTACTTGGAGTGCATGAATTACCATTAACTAAAAAATTCAGAGGGTGATTGTTGTCGAATTTCAGTGATCAAGATAAGGCATGAGGCGTGTTGTCCTAAATTACTTGGTGTGATGACCAAGTACTAGAATCCTTGAGCAATAAGGAATCATATAGAAGGAAAGTCTAGTTGTCTTTCTTCCAAAAATCCTACTTTTATTCTAATGTGTTTGTTTAGTATAAAACTGGTGATTGTTTTCATCGTGATTATTATGTAATCATCAGTTGAGAGATGGAAGTTTTGAGTTATAAATTTCTTCGATAAATGTTCATGCGAGTCATGCATTATAACATCTGTTTTTCTGTTTTGCTTGAGTATGATCCTTGCAATATGCTAATAAGACAGCCAATTGAGTTTCCTCTTAAAATCATCCATTTCTTGTTTTTTTCTTAGCCTAAATGTCTTTGACCAAGTATTTAAGACCCTTAGAAGTTTGATCAAATAATCATGAGCTTTCTTACAACTTACTTGGACTTTGCTCTTGTGACTACTCCAAATAATATTGTGAAGTGGATATATTGAATATTGATTTGACCTTGCAAGTTTTGAATTCTCGTGAGGTGTGGTGCTCGCTAGGTTTTCATCACTTTGCCTCTCCTCCAAATGATACATTACTAAATCCACATTTATAAAATAAGTGAGACACTGTTTAAGCACCAAAAAGACCATTCTACCAATTAGCATTCCAAACACCTGTTTACAAGATTTAGTCCAAAGTCCACCAACAGAAAACCCAAAACATTATACCCCAGCCCATACTAATACTACCATAAAAAAGCTACCCTAAACCGATCAGCATACCAAAACCTTAAAAGTTTCAAAATTAGCATTGTCTATGGCGCTAAGTTATCTTGGAAGTGCTTTTGTCATTTATGTTAATAAGATTGGTGAGGCCAAATGAAAAACTCCGCTGGTGTTGGAGGCAGTAATGCCATCGGATTCCCTACAGAAGACATAGACCCAGATGTTTGAGGAGTAACACCACCGTTGTTCTGGTGGAGATGCTGGAAGAAATTATGATTCTGATGATGATGATGATACGACTGTGTTGAGTTTGGATCAAATTGCATGCCATAAGGAAGGGCAGAAACCGGTGGGATGTTAGCAAAACTGATGCTGCCACCGCTGCTGTATTGTGGCTGTTGATGGTGGTTGGTGATCAGAGATGGTTTCTGCTCAGCCTCCAGTGAGATTTTCAGGCGCTTAGCTGAGCCACCAATTGGAAGGGAGCTGTTGGAAATAGCTTCAACATCATATCGTTTCATTTCAAAATTTGTCACTGCGTTCATCCCCCGGAACTTGATTGCTGCTATGTCGTAGGCTTCAGCTGCTTCTTCCTCAGTGGCTGTAAAATTATACACAATGTATGAATTAAGATCATATCGCTGTATCCATAACATGTTCTATCATATACTCATTAAAGAAGCATAAAATTTACCAAAAGTTCCAAGATACAAATCTTTGTTTCCAGCAACACGGCCAATTCTTGCTTGCCAACGCCCTTGTTGATGATGCCTGAACATTTTCCAATAGATCAATAAGGACGTGTTTGTTTACACGGGAGTATACAAACTATCTATGGGTATTTTATATGATTAGTATGAATGGGGTATTTATGTCTTTTACACATATGTTTGAGATTTGAGAGCAAGTCCCAAATCCCATATTTTTTGGATGGGACTGAAAATTATAATATTCGTGTCATTGACATTAGCATCAGTGTCTCAATCCAACCCTAGTTAAATATAGTTTATAGTACTTTATATCATCAACCAACTAAAAAAATGAAATAAATAAAACAACGGGTTTTCGGAGATCAAACCTTGTCACACCCCGATAGATGGATGCTCCCCTTGAGAAACCACTACTTTTCCTGGTATAATGGCAAAAAATATCTTAGAAAATGCAATATTACTATATATCGATTATCGTTACATAGCAATTAGAAATAGATGAGGTAACAAACCTTCTTAATGACGCGATGAATTCTTGCTTTGTTGAACTTTTCATCTCTTCCACTTCTGTCGCATAGCTTGCAACCTAAATCAACATAATTGTAATTTGTAATAGCTTTAGTACGTAGCACAAACAAGATTAATCTGTTGTTTCTTTTTGATTTATTAGAATCAATGGTAATCGACTTAATCTGATAAGCTATATATATGAGTTTTTTTAATATAGATTTACCGGGAAGTTTGTGGTGGCAGTTGGCCCCCAATATTTAAGAGCAGCCAAATCATAAGCTCTCGCAGCCTTATCTTCTTTGTCATATCCACCTGAAAATTTATACCAAACTCCATTACAAATTACAATCAAGCATACTTGATTAATCCCATAAGCATCAGGATCAAAATAACAAAAGAACAATCAGAAAACATAATAAGGAATGCACTCACCCAAGTACACTGAAGAAAATAATTGAGAGGCAAGTTATGTACACCCATGGCCAATTCCATGCAGAAAAGCCAGCAAAAAGAAAACGTTAGCTTATTATATAAGTGGTCCATCATTTTAGCATCAAAATACTTTTAGATAAAGCAAAAGCTAAAAATATAAAAGCGCTCTCATCATTCACATCATACGTACATTAACATTTTCAATACCAACCATTCGAATTAATTCACAAACTGTACAAATAATATTCAGAGGTCACAATTGTAACCTATTTATTATTATGTGGGTTTGAGTTTGGTCAAACACAAGGGGTACGAAAATGGGGAAAAAAGCAAAAGTGAAAGTAAAAGCAAAGTGTCATGTACTGATGAAAAGAAACTACAGTAGCCACATCACTAGACCCTTAGATTTAGAAAGAGAAACAACAAATATCACACAGAAACAGATACTATTGTACATACTTGTAACAGGATTTTTTGTAAATCTTGTGGACAAATTCCTTCTATTTTGGGCAAAGAGTATTACATCAATATCATGGTCAGAATCTCAGTCATTTCCAGTCATTTATACATATATATCATAATAGCAACATAAATATAAATATACTTAATAAGTTAATAATATGTGTATATAAAGTAAATGAAATGAAATGAAGGAGTACCTTGACGTCCTTTCCTTGCTTGACCTTCCCTTCTACAGCTATTATCCCAAAGATGCGCTTCATATCTTCCAGTCCACCTATGTCTGTTAAATAATAATAATAAAAATAAAAGTAGACATTTTTATGTCAAAAAGATTTCTTGATTAATAAAATTTAAATTAATGAACTTGAGAGTTGAGAGAGACGGGGATACCATACCTAGTAACACCTCTGTAGATCGAAGTTCTCTGTCCAAAAGTATCAGTAATCTTCTTACAACTATTCTGACTGATGGAATCGACGGCTACGATGGCCTTCTGCTGGTCAGGAGGAGTTTGACGGGTGGCGGCGCCGGTACTGGTTATTGCCAACGACAGCGCATTCATCGGACACTGTGCATAAGCCAACTCGTTACCTGACTCAATCGACTGCCCGGCAAACTCGGTCATTTGGGTAGCTGAGTCGTCGACCTCAGACCCTGAGTTGGTTGAGAACGTCGACGGGAACCCAGCTGTAGTAGTGATCGCTTTGAGATCTTGTTGGTCGGAAAAGTAGACGGAGCTGTTGCTGTCGTAGATGTTGGTTAAGGAGGATGAGTCCTGGGTTTCTGTCTGCGAGACGTCGGAGTAACGGAAGGAGTTTAACGGGTGGGAAGCGGCGGAGCCGGTGGTGTTGTTGATGTTGATTTCGCCGCCGAGAAAATCTTCAAGCTTGGGAGCTTGTTGTTGGTGGATATGAGATTCCATGAAGCTTCTGAAGAGAGGCGAATCGCCGCCGTCTTTCACCTCCCCATGACTGTTGTTTTCTTTCCCGTTATTACTCCAACCTACACCGGAAAAACGACTGAGTCAAATACATGCAAAAATCAAAACATCAAGTACTCCATCTTCTTCTACAAAAAGACATCATCAAAACCAGTTTAAAAACACCTTTCAAACTCAAAAACCCACCATGCATAACTCAACATTCTGTAAGAGATTTCACTTGGGTTTTTGGTTCTGTAACCAAAATATTAATTCATAATTTACCATTGGCATAAAAGTTGTCGTTGAAGAAATACTGCTGTGGCTGAGAAGTCGATGAACTGAACATCTCCATTGGTGATAAGGAAAATGAGAGCCAGTTATTTTCTCTCGCCATTTCTAATCACAAAACCCCACACGATTCAGCAAAAACCCACCATTAAAAGATCAATGTGAGACCAAAAGGAAAGATTAAACGGCTTTGAAGTAGGATTGTTAAGTTAGAACACCCGAGCTTCACATGCAAAGCTCAAAGAGTAGAGCGAGCGAAAGTAGTGAGAAAAGGTTTTGTTTTTAAGAGGTAAAAAGTTGGGGGAAGACGAAGAAGAAAATGGAAGAGGGGAGAGTAGGGGTATATAGTGGGGGGATAAAAGCAGGTTTCATGGCTGCATCGGCGTAAATTCAGTGGGAAAAACACAGTTCTCAATATGTATTCTACTGACCATATAAGGTTTGAATGCATAAATAATTGTTTAATAACTTTAAACTTAAGTACTCTAATTTCAAAATTCCACCCTTTTTTTGTCTTTTCTTTGTGAACATGGTATATGATCCTCTTTTGGTTTAACAAGTATACAAACTTCTTTGTAAATTTGTGATTTTCATGAATAAAATTTGCATATTCCTGATTGTTGATTTGTTCTATTTCATGGATTATTTGGGTTTGTTATGATTGTGTTATAGTAATAAAGTTTCTCTTTTTGACTTCCGCTTTTGTTATTTTTATTCCTGTTGCTTTTGATTATATTTTTGTATGGTTGTCCAACTTAACGGACCATGTGTCATATAAGTAAATAACATGTTTAATATTTATTGTGGTCTAATGGTCTACTCTCATGTTACATTGTTTTCCTATTATAATATATTAGAAAGTGTTATATTATGAATTGTTTTTCTATCATTATGCTTGACAATTTGTACAAACATCGCTAAATCAGAATAAAAATTAGACAAAATTACATATATGTTTAATATGGTTTATCAAAGGTTGCAAGTTTAGTCTATGCTATTTGAATGGTCCTTATGGTTTCTAAAAAACTACATGAATGGTCCTTAAACATGTAAAAAGACATCTATGTCCTTTTCTATTTGTTTTATCTTTTTATTGGGTTTAATTATTTCAATTAAATAATAATAATAAATAGAACCATACCATTTTTCTATCTCACTTAACCATTCTCTCTTTCTCTCGCTCTCGCCCATCTTCATCTTCTCTCTCTGAATTAAACCGTCTGCTACATCCGATCAAAATTATTGGCAACGCCTTCTTTTCTTCTTCCTTAATCGGCCAAACATAACATATCTTATCATCAATTTAAAAACACGTCACCCTTATGCTTACTGATTCTTAGCATGTCAAGAGAACATGAGCCCTTTTTAATATGTGTGTGTATCTTGGAAACAGAGAAACGATGATGGTAGGGTCCGAAACTAATGGTGGCGAGGCGATTGTGATAAACAAGGGATTAAAAGAGGTTTTATTGAGTCTGATTAGAGTATGATGGTTTGGTGATGTCAAGATGGGTTATTTTGGCCCGAATAAAATAAGGATGAATTGGTCTCTTCTTGAGATAGTTTCAAGATGGTGAAGGGTTGGTGATGATCTCAGCTGCTTAAGGAGAATATAAAGACGGGTGATATTAAGTGATGAATATAATTTGGTGGTGGCTGGAATGTGATTTTTCTGTGTTTGGTTGGCCAAAAAGAAGAACCGGAAACACTACTTGTTTTTACCTTCCCGATGATATGTTATTGCCTCATTCGTGATGATGATGGTGAACGGAGACAATCGTTATTAGTAAGGGAAAAAGGAGTAAAGAAAGAGAAGTAAAGAAAACAAATCTAAAGAGGAAGTGGAAGAAGGGGATGAGGATGGGTAAAGGTTTATGTTATTTTTTATTTTTCTAATAATTAAAAATGATTAAAGAAAAAGATAAAAGAAATTAACAAAAAGGCAAAAGAGTCATTTTATGTAGCACAAAGACCATTCATATAAGTTTTAAAAATCATATGGATCAATCCTATAAGTTTAAAAACTATGAGGACTATTCGTATCAAAAAAGTTTAGCAAACACTAAACTTATGACCTTTGATAAATAACAGGATCATTTATATAATTTTGTCAAAAAGTTAGAACGTCAAATATGAATGTTTTTACTTTGTATTCATAATTTTATTAAGCCAAATTTGTGCAAAAAAATGTTATACAAGTTTAAGCTTTTTTTTCACCTCTAGCCAATATATATTTAATGCACAATATCATTTGTAATGATTACAAAGATGATGTACAAAATATGAATAGCGTTTAGTATTTAAGGGGTAGTATAGGTGGCTAGATAAAAATTTGTTGTATCTACAACCGAACTTCACTTTTCAATGTGTATTTTTTTTTATAAGGCTAAGAGTGTGATGTTTTTTTTTTTTACCAATGGTAAAGGCTGCCACCTAAGCGGCCACATAGGATTTTAGATTTTTTAGACTTTTTACCTATGAGATAGGATGTGGTGCCTATAACTTTTTTTTTTAAAATTCAAAAATCTAAATAATTATATAAAACTTAAAATTAAATATTAATTAAACTAACATAACATTTCATAAATTGAAAACATTACAGTTGATTAAACAATCATAAAACGAAAATTACATTAACTAACATAATAAAATATTTCAGTCCGAATATTCACCGATATCATTGTCAATTAGCTTATTTAAATCAATTTTATTAACCTGATATATGTGTTCCGCTAAATCGTTGCGAAGTTCGTGGTGTTTTTGATTGTCACGTATCGCCCTTCTTCTTGCACGCCATGAGATGGAACCAAATGATATTGGCGCACTAGATGATGCACTTGAGGATGCGTTGTCATTTGGTTGAAACTGACAAATTATTTTGTGATCGTCTTCTAAAATCATATTATGTAAAATGATACACGCATACACAATACAAGTGAGCTTGTCCACACTTTGAGGACGAGCCAGATGTTGTAGTATGCGCCAACGCTTCTTGAGGACTCCAAATGCTCGTTCCACATCATTCCTAGCCTTTTCTTGGTACGTTTTATACTTTATGTGTTTGGGATCACCTGGACATGTTAGCGTTTTCACAAACACAGCAACTTCAGGGTAAATACCATCAACAAGATAATACTCATAATCATACGTCGTTCCATTCACTTGAAATGGACAGTTAGGTGCAGACCCATCACAAAACTCATTGAATATGGGCGACATGTCTAAAACATTAATATTGTTGTTTGAGCCAGGAGCACCAAAAAAAGCATGTCAAATCCAAAGATCCAATGACGCAACAGCTTCAAGTATGACTGTCGGGTGACCCTTATCACCCCGTATAAATTGTCCCTGACATGCATTAAGACAACTACCCCAAGCCCAATGAAGACAATCCAAACTTCCAAGCATACCAGGCAAGCCATGAACACTAGCATGATGAGCATATAATGATTGAACGTCAGTAAAAGTGGGTTTACGCAAATACCTTGGACCGTAAATAGTGACAACGCATCTGCAAAACTCATCCAAACTGTCCCTAGCTACACGCTCGAACATTTGAAAATATTCGTCCCATGAATCAGAACCAGAACCGTAAGCTAATTGACGAACCGCAACTGCGTATTTTTGTATTTCTGAAAACTCATCCGCACCTCTTGCATCTCGGTGTTGTCTAATATATTCAAAAATGTTAGTAACGTCACCAACTATACGAAGAAATAAATGTTTTGCCATTCGGAATCGACGTCGAAACCGGTGCTCCCCATAAACAGAATTTTCATCGAAATAGTGTGCCATTAGACGAGTGTGTGTATCCCAACGATCTCTGAGAAGCATCTTCCGCGTCTTGGGTTGGATTTCCTCTTCTTCTTCTTCTTCTTCTTGTACCGTATCCATAATCACTTCCCATGATTTCATAACAGTCTGACCAACGGTCAGCAACAACTTACAATTTTTTAATGGATTTGCCATTTTTATGAGATGATTTTTTAGAAATAATAAAGTGGGTTTGAGTAAATAGGTTTTGGTTTATGGTTACATATATACAGTGGTAAAGAAGGAAAATTGAAAAAAATAAAAAATAAATGCAGCAACGGTCACAAAAAAACGGGCAAAAATTACAAACGTTCATTTTTAAAATTTTTCACAATCGGGGTAATATCTCACCACCGGCACTTCACCGGCACTTCACCGGCGGTGTAAAACAAGACGCGGGGCGGTGTTCACAGCCGGTAAAGAGGTCCACGTCGGACTACCGACAATGATATCCACACGATACCCTTTAGTCTAAGATGTTATGAAATATTTATCATCTGTTATATCTACCACTAATTATTATAGTCGTGGATGTCACATTATTATTACACTTTCTACTACTAACCAAATGATACCTACCACTAAACACATCATTCCATCTCATTTTTTAGTTAAATTTAATTCAAAAATACATAAAAAAAAACATATATATTTTTAAACTAATTTTTCATTAAATTAAAATAACACATTATATTAAAAATTTACATTAATTAAAATAAAAATAAAACACCTAAAACTACCAAACACAACTAAAAAAATTACCCCCTATTTCTATATCGGGCTCGAACCAACTCTTTCATCGTGAGAAAAATCTTCAAATCTTTGCATTCGAGGTCGTCCACTTTCATCTTCAAAATCTCCATGTTGGTTTTCGTTTGAAGCGTCGTTTGTGCCTCTTGGAATGACGTTTGCGTTTCTATCAATTTTTATTCCACCCGACTCAACATCTCCGTCTTGATTTCTTGAATGTGGACATATCGATCAATTTTATCTCCAAAATTATCGATAACACTAGAACCCGAAGCCGACGAACCCGCTTTGTTTGCTTTATTTCTTCCAACCGTCCTATCAAGACGTTGCTCGTCTTCAAGATCGAGTGGATCATCGTTGATGTCGATGTGTGTTCGCCCGTCCGATTGTTGAGAAGTTGCATTCGGGTTTCTTGAACGCTTTGAACCGGAAGAGGTTTGTGAAGTTCATTTTGTTTGCTCTTTCCATTTTTTAGCGTCTTTCAATTTTAGTCACGGTTTC